AACGAGAAGAAAAGTATACCCATGAAATTAGTAGAAATTATAGAAATGCCAAAACGAAAAAATCCTATTTAAATTAAATGCTCTGAAAAAAAAAAAAACAGTACAAGTATAGATTGGTAATCACGGTACCGGGAACATTGATTTTGAAGATGTGGGCATTAGGGGATTCGAGCCAGTCCATCAAGGCGGTTGATCCGGACCAGTCGCGGAAAACCGGAGGACTTAGAAAGAAACGCCTAAAGGGGTATCCAAAGATAGCGTCCGCCATGGCTGTTCTGATCACGAGCTCTGCTTCTCGTCTTGCTGGGCTTTTCTGGAATAAGTGAGGCCTGATTAATGATTTGGGGGAATTTATGAGTAAATGTGAGGAACTCCAGAATGTTCTTCGAGACTTATCTTTGGAGATATGGAGCTTTGGAGAAGATGAAGGGATAGTGATATGCTACGACGAGCTGTACTGGATAAAATGTACTCCCTATTATCATGGCCGTTCAACAGTATGAAAATAGGTCTAGAATTTAAATGATACGTTAAAAATAAATCAGAATATTTAGTGGGGAAAATGTAATTTTCATCTCAACACTTGTACGTATAGCCCAAGCTGACTGGGTTGGGCTTTGTTTTCATTTTGAATGGGAAAAGGGATGGGCTGCTAAAAGAAATTTTTAACAATTTAATGAACTACCAAAACTACCCTTATGGGTTCCTTTTTCTAGGGAGAAAAAAGAATTTAATCATCGGAAGATATTTCTTTCATCTAAATACGTCATAACTCGCTGATATTAAGCTAAAAACTTTGTTATCGCAATTCCACTATCACGCTAATAAGTTAAGTTTTTAGGCTTATTAAATTAAATATTATAAATTGATTACTATTACTTTATAATATATTTATAAGAAAGTGAATTTTATATTTTCAGTGAGATTTAAATTCGTGATCTTTAAATAAAATATAAGAATTTTTAACTATTAAACTATCGTATTAGTAGTGTAACACCAAAATTTGGAAATTTAACCCGAGATGATTTTTTTAATTTATAAAAAATATATAAAAATAATTAAAATTTTATTTTAATTCAAGTTTTGTTAAATCAAAAATCCAAAACCCTCTCCGATGACCCCATTCTCGTTTTCCGTTTCGTATGATTTTTTGACCATCGTATTCTCCGTCCTTTTCTGGTGCAGGTTAGTCGAAGGAAAACTTCAGTCTCGAAGGAGGACTGATGGAGTTGCCGCACCCGGAGACCTTCCACCGGTAAGGTTTCAGTTTTTTTGCCTTTTCCGGCCAACTGAGGCCTCATAACTTGGTTTTTTGCATGTTTACATGTAAAACCGATCAAAACTGGCCAAAAACAACCAAAACAGACCAGGCCGAGGCGAACCACTGCCGTGGGTGATGAAGCCGACACCGGAGCAAGGCGACCTCGCTGTGCCGGAACCCTAAAATTGACCGAAAAGGTTTTTCAATGCCTATTTTGGCATTTTGGGTTATTTTTTGATACGTGATGGGTGTTTTAATTTTCGCAGAAAAAATTCAAAAAATCAGAGATCGCTAGGAGACGCCATAGAAAGTACAGTATTTCATACACCGACCCGAGGTAAGAATCTCTCACCATTTTTTCTGTTACTGTAAATTGAAGTCTAATAATTGATAACATTGTATTTTGTGAAAATTAAAAAACTCTAAAAATAATTACAGGTCACTAGTGGAGGCGAAATCGAACAATACATATTTGTCTTAGTTTACTGTTTATTTTCTTTTGTACTGCTTAAAATGCTTACTATTATATTGTGTGCATTAAATTTTTTAGTTTTAATTACTTTCTTGGTTATTTAGTTTATCTAACTGCATACCCATCATTTGTTGATTTATTTTACAATAAATGTCTCAATCATGTTTCTTGATGTACGTATCGCCTATTTGTATGTCTTACTTTTGATCTGTAAATATGAGATATTGATATGTAACTGGTAATTGGTTAATGGTGTGAATCTATGTATGAAAAGCTTACTGGGTACTTTGAAAAATGGTGGACGGACCCGGTACATAGGGAACCCTACTGCGGACATTACCTCATATGAACGGGGCTGAGAAGTCCTATACCGGAATGGTTTAGGAGATATGCTTCATCCTCATACCGGATGGGGGATTTATGCGATGGTGTTTAGCGCCCATTATCAGACAGAGTATGGGGACGACTAGTTAATTGACAAATTTGGATATTGGGTTCACGCGTAGGGAGACATCCCTGTGGATGTCCAGATGTACCAGTAAGCAGATAAAAAGAAAAATTGTTGTTCTTGCTCACCTGTATATGAAATTGTAATGTTATTTGAGTTATTGTTTTTATAGGTCGATTTTAGAAACTCGTAACGGTAAGTATGAAATAAACTGTTTTATGTTAAATGAATTTACTGAAATTAAGGGTTCTATTAGTTGTTTTATAATTTTTACTAACATTCAATTTTTCGTATCAGTGATTACTGTGATATTCTTACTGGGTTAGTGTAGCTCATCTCCCTATTTAACCATTTCATATCAAGAATATCAAGATCCAAATTCTAAATAGCAGGAGGGTTACGAGTAAATGTTACCTTTTGAACCTCATCAAAGTTGCCAGCGGAGGTTAATCCCATAAGATTTTAACCTCATTTATGTTTCTGTCATTTAAAATTTTTTTAAAATGGACATTCCCGTAACCCTATTAAGCATCCCAATTTACTATGTAAGGAATGAAAACCCTAAATTATTATGTGCTTTCATTAATACAATATATATATATATTCTTTTCCGTAAAGTTTTGGGGCATTTACAGTCGGTATCAAAGCCGCATTCATTGAAACCATTCCTTACACAAAGATTTAAAAACATTGGAATACAACTCGATACTCAACCCTCTCTTGTGAAATGCAGGTACAAGGATATTAAGAGAGGAAAACCCCTATTAAATCGAGAAGCTCGGGATGGGTCGCTTCGAGAGGATGTCGATAAACTCTTTGGGATGCTGGAGAGATTTATCTCCGTCCAGCAAGCCTAGAAAGAAAGGAGGGAGCTGTCTGACCCTCTACCTCTGTCACAGTTTGAGCCACCTCTGCAACGAGAAGATCTGGTGCCACCTCGATATAGCCCTACTCCTCCAGCATATCATCCAACACTGCCATTATACAATCTGGTGCCCCCACCATACAACCAGGTGCCACCATAGGATCGTCCGGCCCCTCCCCCAGCATAATCCAGTTCCTTTTCCATGGGACCTAGTTCCACCTATGAGGGACTTAGACTACATTCAAAGGTACAATAGACTAAACCCATCTACTTTTCCAGGGGTATCCTCTTTCGAAGAGGTCGAGTATTTATTAACAGAGACAGAGAAGGTTTTCACAACTCTTGAGTGGTTCCCGAACAGAAAGTTGTACTTGTCACCTACATGCTCATGGGTGAGGCAAGTCGCTGGTGGCAGCTGAAGTAGGCCACCCTGTCTGTTTCAGTCACTTGGAAACAATTCATAGTAGCCTTCAATATAGAGTACGTCCCAGAGCATCTTTGACATTTGAAGGAAATGAAATTTACACACCTGGTTCAGAGCGACATGACAATGTCAGAGTATGGCCGAAGGTTCTTATAATTGGGTAGGTATTCCCCTAAGAGTATGATGGATGAAGGCAGAAAAATAAAGAAGTTTGACTGGGGCCTCCGTCCTGAGATCAAGCAACAACTGTATATGTTCGAGCTCCGCACATACTCAGTCATTCTGGCCAAGGCACAATTAGTAGAGAGGAACCTTCGTATCTTTTCTCCAGCAGTGGGCAATTCCAGACCCCCGGTTCCGCACTACAGACCAGTTCCTACTGCACAAGTTCAGCAGAACAAGAGACCTACCTCTGTGACTCAAGCTCATTCTCAGACCCCGACAGCAGGACACGGTAGGATTTGCCAACACTATAGTAAGGATCATGGAGACCGACCCTGCTATCGCCTTAATAATACATGTCGTATATGTGGAAGTGTTTAACACTACGTGAGAGAGTACCCACAAAATCATAATCAAGCCATACCTCCCATCTAGAGCAGAGCTTACACTCTTACCCAGTAGGATGCTGAAGCCAATCCGGACGTGATACAAAGCAAAACTAAGAAAAAAATGTGTATTTAAGAGATCCCTGTAGTTTGAGAATTTTCAGATGTATTTCCTGATGAACTATCTGGACTGCCAGTGGATAGGAAAATCGAATTTATCATAGATCTTTAACCTGATACCCAACCTATCTCAGTTGCCTCTTACCACATGAGTCGAGTAGAGATGGAAGAACTAAGAAAACAGATTGAAGAATTATAGGATAGTGGGTTCATCCAACACAATATATCTCATTGGGGTGTTGGAGTCATGTTTGTAAGGAAAGAGGATGGGTCCCTAAGGTTGTATATTGACTACAGGGGATTAAATAGAGTTACAATCAAGAACAAGTACCCCTTTCCTTAGATTGATGATCTTTTCGATCAATTACAAGGTGCTCAGATTTTCTCCAAGATAGACTTGCGTTCGAGTTACCATCAAGAAAAAGATCAAGGCAGAGGACATTCCCAAGACAACCTTCAGAATCAAGTACGGAAACTATGAGTTACTAGTCATACCATTTGGGCTAACCAATGCATCAGCTATTTTTATGGACTTGATGAATAATATTTTCAGGCAATTTTTGGATCAGTTCGTCATTGTATTCATTGATAATATCATGATCTATTTAAATAGCAGAGAAGAACAGGCTCATCACCTAACTCAGGTTTTACAAGTTCTCAGAAAAAAGAGATTGTATGCAAAATTAAGCAAGTGTGAGTTCTGTTTTGAGCATACTACCTTTATGGGACACATAATATCAAATGATGGAGTGTTTGTGAATCCTGAGAAAGTTAAAGCAGTACTCA